GAGATATTACAAAAGCTGCATTTTCTAACAATAAGGTATATAAAAGTCGAGATAATGATATAATTATAATATCAACCCATATTTTGAACAGAATCTGGCTCCCAACCACCGTGCAAATGATGCCATTGCTTTGGAAGGCTCAGCTCAGGTCGTTACAGCGCGATTCACGTATGGTCCATTAGATGTGGCCGCACTCACTGGCGAGAAGGTGAGAGAATTGTCCCCTCAGTTAGAAACCAGGGATGGATTTACTGGGGGGTGCGAGGGGTGTGCACCCCCCCCTAGCCTTGGCCAGAGGTGGTGCAGGGGAGGATGTGCTATTTTTCATGATAAAGCAAAAAATGTTTAGAGACAAAATGAGATACAGTAATTTGAGTAATAACATGATGATAAGCGAACTGTGAACAACAATTACGATTCAAATACAGTAGTCAAGCAAGACTTTGCAGTAGTGAAGCAAGTTGATGGGCGGGCTGCACACATGACCGACACAACTCGGCACCAGAGCTGGCAGAGCACCCCCCCCCCCCCTCATGCTGAATCCATCCCTGTTAGAAACTAGACATGTTTGAACACTTGTAAGTCTTATAAAGCTTGAATCTAACTGACAGCTAACATTTGTCTGTATTTTCGACTGACAATTTACAAAATATCCTAACTGATAGCTGACCAACGATGGAACAGTCATTTGACTAGCCCTTGCGTGGCGACCAGTGGTGGCGACTGAGAAAAAATAATTCTAAAGCCCTAAAATATCTAAGTGATCAAGCGTTTCATTCTGCTTTTAAACAACTGTTTTTTACGTTATCTATATACAAAGAGAATACTTCACAACAAATTGATGTAGGGAGACCTGATATTAAATTGGTGACCGAAAGGTTTTTTAAAATTTCAACCCCTGATAGCTGACAATTGGCTTGAATTTTAGCCGACAAAAATGACATCAAGTGACTCCATTAATACGCTGTTAAACTGTTTCCCTAGGTTGATATGTACATCATGAGTTTTCCTCCGGCCGGGGAATGGAACCTTATGGATACAGTGACTACCGGAAGTGGTGGACGTGCCTCATTCAATATCCCGGATGAGCATAAACTCGATGTTGGCATATACCCGACGAAAATGGTCGTCAGGTCAGTAAATTGTGACGTTTACCGTGACGTCATTATGACGTCATTTCTGGAACTGTTTCTCGAAAGTTGACCTGCAAATCACTTTCTCTAGAGGCGATCATACGACAGTGGATTGTAATTTGGCTGTATTACGAGCAAACACTGAAGCAGTGGTCTTCAGTATCGATGGTGCATTTTCAGCCAGTGTTTCTCTTCGAGGAAGACATCCGAAGGTACAACCTGGCGCAGTTGATGTTGTGCGGTAGGAATACTTTCCCTTTTCACTTGATGTTCATATCTATTCCCTGTAAACGAATTCATTCGAACCGACTTGACTTTGTAGCTCAGTTGGTAGGGCCAAAAAAAAAATGTGGGTTTCCGGTTTCTTCTTATAAAAACTTAGGTAGGGTAGGTCGGTTTTAACTTTTTTTTTTAAACTTTTCCGAACAAACGGAAGCCATTTTGTTTAGTCAGTGCTTCCACATCCAAAGATAAATTTCCCTAATATTGCCTCAAATTTCAATTTTCCACAAACTTTTTCCTCTAAGTGGAAACACTTACAAGCATGATCCAATAAAAAAAGTTTAGGGTCGGGATTTCGACGTCCAAAAGCTAGGTAGGGTCGGGAAACCGGAAACCCACATATTTTTTTTTTGGCCTAGAGCTATATTGGACGATGGAACAAGGTTTATATGGTTAAAAAAACTTGAATTTAGTATAGTATTAATAACGAAGTACTCTAATTTCTCCTAGTCACTGGCAAGAACAAGGCTATCTCATTATCTACGTGACAAGTCGACCAGATTTTCAAAAAAACCAAGTCATGCTTTGGATGTCAGAACACAATTTTCCATTTGGTCTGGTCTCATTCTGTGGCAGTTTGTCCACTGTCGACATACAACGACATAAAGCGGAATATCTGAGAAATCTCACAACTAACGTGAGTTGGGAATTTGTGTAGAAAGTTTAAAAGAAAATAATTTGGGTAAAGACCTACCTAAAATGATCATGTTTAGGGTTAGGGTTTGTGATTGGCTTTCAGAAACAAATCAGAAACAAAAATGATCATTGTTCGTGGTTCGTTCAGTTTAGAAAGACGATTTCTATAGTTTTATTGTCTTTCATTGTTATAATCAACCAACCACGAGCCTGGATAGTAAACCAGCCTTTAGATAGAGTAAAATAACAACGTATGGCGCATTGGGGCAATGCAACTTAATGGTTTAATACTGGTTCTTTCAAGACAGCGATACGGTGCTCGTTTCCTTTGTGTTTTGCTCATTGAGGATTTGAGGCAGCGTCGCTCCACGCCAAACATGGCTCCCTAACTTCCCCCAGGTTTTTAAATGAAATGAGTTCTTGCAACTTATATTATACAAGACCATCGTTTGGCAGTTCTGCCGTAAAATACGATTTCTGTTGACGTAAAGTCAAAAGTTTGGGGCGAAGTACATGTGTACATGCGCTGTCTGAAGTGCCATACGGCAGCATTTCCCTTGCGACAGTAACTTCTAGTTAATTGAGGAAAGAGGATGTCATTACCCACTAGCTTCTACTGAGTTATACTTTCTTGTGCCTGATTATCACTGATTCTACTATACTGTATTTTCCAGATGAAAGTTGTAATCCACGCGTCGTATGGTTCAACGAAAGATGTAGCCGTCTATTCAGGGCTTGGAGTTGAACCTAATGCGATATTTGTTATTGGTGGGAAAAGTAAACGCAATGAAAAACTAGCTACGGTACGATACTTTAATATAACCTTTTGCGTAAATGGATTTTATGTAATAAAAACAAGTTGCTGATTCGCGTCACTACTCTACGTCCACCTATATCTGTCTGTCTATTTGTCAGATCTCCGTTTTCAAATGCCAGAACTCCGTTTTCAAATGCCAAAACAAATGTCAAAACTCTGTTTTCAAATGTCAAAACGCCGTTTTCAAATGCCAGAGCTCCGTTTTCAAATGCCAGAACTCCGTTTTCAAATGCCAGAACTTTGTTTTCAAATGTCAAAACTCCGTTTTCAAATGCCAGAGCTCCGTTTTCAAATGCCAAAACTCAATTTTCAAATGTCAAAACTCAGTTTTCAAATGCCAGAACTCCGTTTTCAAATACCAGAACTCCGTTTTCAAATGCCAGAGCTCCGTTTTCGACTGCCAGAACTCCGTTTTCAAAAGCCAGAACTCTGTTTTTAGATGAAAATTTTCGACCAATTGGGTTTGAGCAATTTTGACCGAATATGAAACATATACCGGTAACTCAAAAAAATTGCTTCGGTGCCTGGTCCTCTGTCTAAACCCACCATAATAACCTTATCACCGAATCCATCTCTACCGATCGGCAGCGGGCAAAAATAGTGCTATATAGTTATTTGTTATCAGCGTGAAATGTTAAACGCTTTAATATAAAACAACCAATATCTCGATTGGTTGATAAAAATTAAAAAAAAAATCTCGATGCAATGGCGCTATCCAGTCATTTTATCAACTTGTCAGATCAGTGGTTTTTAGCCATTCAAAATGGCCGCCGTGTAGAAAACATTCAAAGTTTAAAATCACTTTTTAAAACCCAGAAATTAAACATCAACGTTTTAACATAAACTCATCTTGTAAATAATTACCCAACTAACTAAGTACCTTTCTTTATCTAGTATTTACGAGACGGTTATTCGACTCACCTTGCTTCGTTGTCCAACGACCCGATATCGCGACCAGCAGCAAGAAATTTACGAATTAGTTTACCGCGAGGACCCTTTGGTTTGCCAAAGAGACAGAAACATTCGTCCAAGAAGTATAGGAGTAGTCATGGTAGTTCTTCGTGAAAAAAACACCCCGAAGAAACTGCGAATATTTGCGAGAAATTCAGTCTCATTCTTGCTAGCTTCTTTTGAGCTAGTTTCATAATTCAATATTCAACTGTTTTCCCGCCGTTTTTGATCTCATAGTTATAACTGAATGGAACTCTCAGCGATGATTTTATTTAACATCAGAAAGTTACCAAAATTGAAAGTTGTAGGCAGCTCGCGCCTGTTTGATATATAAATAGTGGTTTAACCCAATTCATAAATTTATTGTAATATTTGTCATAGGCTTACGGGGCTGATGCTTGCCCGAATTTCCATGGTTTTCAATGATACTTGTATACCTATGTACGCCTATGAGACGTGTATATTCCTTTCGAAACATGATGAAAATGTTAAAATATATAAAGTGTACCCAAATAAAAAAGTCCAACACATTATTTACCCGTTTTTTTCCATTCTATATTTTAAATACAACCTTAAATAATCTTAAATTTACAATAAATTCTCCATTCTAAAAACTAATTTTTCCCTTCCATAATTCTATATATATATCTTTGTCTTGTCACAATTTGAAAATACCGTAGTATGTGCAGATTTTGTCGTTTTTAAATTTTACCCACTTGTAATATGGTGCAATAATAACTCATTCACTTGTGCAAATTTAAAAGCAAATTTCAGCAATGAAGCATATAGACTACAGACCCATTGCACATGACGTCACAGCGCCGGTGACGATGCATCTGGAGGACAAATTAGTAATCTATGCATAATATAACTTTTGTAAACAAAGCAAATTTTGTAAAACTTTATAATAATTTTGTATTAAAATGGTTAGTTTTTGCGCTGTTTGTGGTTGTTGTACCCGAACAGATATCGTTAGGGAGCATCTGGAGGACACTCTAAGGATTTGTGACGTCAGTGCAATGGGTCTATAGTTAAGTTTCAACACCGCTGAAACTTAAACAAACAAACAACCGCTGAAACTTAAACAAACAAACAAACAAACAAACAAACAAACAAACAAACAAACAAACAAACAAACAAACAAACAAACAAACAAACAAACAAACAAACAAACAAACCCTTCAGTACTTATTGCCAATAGGGATATTAAACATATCCCCGGCATTATTTTCCATATTTGTCTCCGGGCTAAAAACATCGCAGGAGGGAACATATGCCGGGGGTACAGTGTACGTACCGTACATCGGGTGAGCGAATGATTGACCGAACATTACCGGCGTTGGCCGATGTGGGAACGAAGCTGGGTTGGTCATAAATGAGTTTCTCGGCGCTTGTGTCGGATACGGTGAATAACGAATGTCTGATCTGTACGCGTGATTGTTGCTGTGGTAACTACGTGGGTGTGCCCAGCTCTCGGTAGGTAGGCCTGCAGTCGTCTCGCCAGCGGTTGCTGGAATTGCTTGTTCTTGGGAAGCTTGTGGAACACTCACGTTTTCTCCTAAAAAGAATAATGGCCGATTATAATTTTGTATGTAAGAGAACTCCCAGCGATAATGGTGGCACTTACTGGCTCTATGGACGGAGAACAGTTCATACTATAGTTTAGAACTGATAGAGCTACCCAGCATAAATAAAATTTGGTTTAATATAATAGGTTTCCTTCTGCAGTGACATTGGATCAACGAACCTTACTGGACCTCTACGGAAAACAGTTTAAAACCGAAAGAGTTGTCCAGTATAAATAAAGTTAGTTTAGTCTAGGTTTCCTCCTGTAGTAACACTGGATCAATAAGAGATGAACCTTACTGGACCTCTAGGGAGAACAGTTTAGAACGTAAAGAGCTATCCAGAAAAAATAAACTAACTTTATTTATACTGGACAGCTCTATCAGTTCTAAACTGTCCTCCCTGGAGGTCCAGTAAGGATCATCTCTTACTGATCCAATATTATACAATCTGGTATCTAGGCCAGACAGAGCTGTTTACACGTGTCACACTGGGTCACACCATTACAAACACATTAAAGACAGAAATATTCATCCATTATTGTTCTGGATCGCCTGTTTTTCTTTGTCTATTATGATTAACAACAATTACAAAGACAATCCAGGATTCTCAAGATTGAAAGAATGAGAACATTAATTACTCGATTAATTACAGCAAACAAAATGCCACGTTTGTAATTGTGTTCATTGTTTGCTATTTCTAGACTGTTTCCCTGGAGTTTCATACTAAACGTTCAAAAATTACAACTGGCACGCGAGTTAACTGAATTTATTCGATACATTGTTGCTTTGTCTTCGTCGCATCCCTTATTGATCCAGTGTTACTACAGAAGGAAACCTAAACTAAACTAACTTTATTTATACTGGATAGCTCTATCAGTTCTAAACTGTTCTTCCTGGATGTGCAGTAAGCATCATCTCTTATTCATCCAGTGTTACTACAGGAGGAAACCTAAACTAAACTTAACTTTAGTTTAGATTTCCTCCTGTAGTTACGCTGGATCAATACAAGATGAACCTTTCTGAACCTCTAGAAGAACAGTTTAGAATCGATGCTATCTGTCAGTCACACAACGCAATGATAAGTTTGCAATTTTTACCCGAGTGAGTTTGGTCCATGGAAAGTCTGGTACAGTCTGCAGGAACTTTATTTTCGCATTTCACTTCTTTAGTAGTTAAACTTTTCTCTTGTGTGTCCAGAGTTTTGGCTTTCCTACACGAAATCACACGAATCATAATGTATAACTTACGAAAGTCGTGAGGAAAACGTCTAAACAGTGAAGATGTATTGATGAAAATGCAAGGTACCTTTTGTCTTGGGTTCTTCGCTTCTGACCAGCGCCATTTTCACGAAAACCTTTTGCGAAAGGATTGTTGTCGATTTTTAGTTTGGTAATCTAAACGGGAAAGACATCAAAATACAGTTTTGTAAAAAAACGTCTGTATCACGACTTTGATAAACATTCAAAATGACATTTCAAAGTGGAATTAAATAGTATTATTCCAGTAAACGATCTTTCATCCTCCTTTAAACTTTGTTCATACTCCATAGTTCTTACAGTTCTGAACTGTTCATCTTATGGAGAGGACCAGTCAAACAGAAGGCGCATGTGACTAGGGGCCGACACCCACGTGAAGTGATATCATCACTCCTTATGTTTGAAAAGCTATAATCGCATGATAAAAGGCGAGAAATTGGGCGAAAAATCTGACACAATGTTTGGTGATATTTTTCCCACAAGAAACGTGGCCAGTTTAGCGCTTTTGAGTCAAGTTTACATGTTTGTGAAGTGTTGCTTTCTGGTGTCGCCACATTGCAGCGTTAATAGTAACCTTTGAACTGTCACAGTGGGGAACTGTTTTTACATTAACGCCTGAGCAGGATTAGTCTCTGTGACTGAGGTTTCATTCCTGCAATATGCAGTTGTCTCATTATAATTCCACCTCGGTCACATGGGAGAAGAGTGCTTCCAGTTGACTCTACCACGAAACACCACAGGTTTTTTCTGAGTACTCCTCCAATAAAGGCCCATTCCAACTCAGGAAAATTTCCCGCAGTGTGATTGGCAGACACAAATTTTACGTCGGAAAAAAATTATGATATTTTCGGAAATTTTCTGTCAGTAGAAAATTTTCTTGAGTGGAAATGGGCTGGACTTTACTGGACTTCTAGGAAGAACAGTTTATAACTGATAGAACCGTCCTTTTGAACCCTTTCTATGGGCGGGTTCGCCAGTTCATATAAGACTGAAAGACATGCAATTTTGTCGACTTCGAATCGAAAATAGACATCACCTATTACGATTCCGTTTCCCGTTTCATAATAAAATGTAATTGCACTTAAATTTTGGCCAGGAAAAGGAGTTTATTTCTAATTTCCCGTCCATTTTCGAGTCGTAAGAGATTCTACAGAACTACAGGAAACATTCAATGTTGTGATTTTAGACTGCTTCAGACGGCGTACTTTTCACGTGTCGAAATTAATTGTATTAGATGCGACATTGGAGTAACACAAGAACGGCAGTGATTCAAACGGCGTATAAAATGTAATGTTATTGACAAGGTTGATGTGCATTCGCGAAAGAATCCTAAATAAAATTCTAAATTACAAGACGGCCATTCCAATACTAACAAATTTAAAAAAAAAGTTGAGTTAGGTTTTGGTACATGAGCTAGTAGAGCGGTTTATAAATCAATGTCGCTCAAACGTCGCATAATGCGTCAGGCTCTGCCGAACTTTTGTATGAGCTCCAAATATTTTGTCGCTCCAATTGTGCAAGCAACATTGTGCAGCAGAGTGAAAAATATAACTGTCAAGGTTGAACCCAAATGGTAATAATAATGTTTACTCTTTTCAATAATAGTTCCATTATATGTGGAATGATCTAGTAGTCTTGTATTCGGTTGGTAAATAAAAATGAAAGCTATAGTAGCTATGTAAATCTTCTTAATCAGATGAAGATGGTGTTAAAAGTGCTAATAATGTATCGAGTCTAAATTAGTTCTTGGCTGACATTCAACGCATTCTGACTAAATAAACATCGAACGTCCATCTCCTTCCTGGCCAAACAAACAAACAAACAAACAAGGCAATAAACACGTCTCTCGTGTTGAAATGATACATCAGATAACAGTACAGCTGGCGGTCTAGTTTCTGTTCACACTTTGAAACTATAGCCTGGCGCCTGTTTTCACAGCTGAGAGAAAACAGTTTCTCCCCCATGAAGAATTATGCCAAATATACCCATTTCACGTGGTTCTTCTTTTAAAAAAAACATTGCCCAGAATATCAAAGTTGAATTAGTAGGTTTACTAACACGTTTTCAAAGCATTTCTCTTTAATAGTTATAATTTTACTTCAATCGCAGCATAAGAGTGCTTTCAGATTTTACAAAACACCGCAGTAGGTTTTCTCCGGGCGCTCTTGTTTCCTTCTGTAGTAACACTAGATCAATAAGGGATGACCCTTACTGGACCTCTAGGGAGAACAGTTTAGAACTGATAGAACTATCCAGTATAAACAAAGTTAGTTTAGTTTAAGTTTCCTCATTTAGTAACACTGGATCAATAAGAGATGACCCTTACTGGACCTCTAGGGAGAACAGTTCAGAACTGATAGAGCTATCCTCAGTATCAATATAATTACCGTAGTTTAGTTAAGTTTCTGGGACAGCCTACCTTCTCATTTTGATAAGCAGTGACGGCCAAAAACAGAGTATCGGGAAACTCGAATGTCTGGAAAGAACTCCAAGGCAATCTGTATATATCTTCACATTTCACCAAATGAACGCGAGGCTTGTATTTATGCATGGAGTTGAGAATCGTCTAAAGATAAAGGACATATTTTGTTGTCTTTCAAGAAAATATGTTAATACCAGGGTAACACCTTGGGCGCCTACGCTCCCGCCTGGGGCGTCGAAAGTCTGACTCAGCATTTAGAAGTCCTGTGGAGTCTGAAGCCGTGGTTGGATGAGGAGTTGAGAAGCGAGAGTTTGCATGAAAGTTTTCTCAAGTCTCGTGTCAAACGAGAACGAGAGTTGCATGAGAGTTGACTGCATATTTCCACGCGCGTTGCGGAAACTCTCATCAACTCTCATCAAATTTGAACCAGTTCAAAAAGTGCATGAGAGTTGGCGCCTTTGGCGGTCCAACTGCCGCAGTTGCAACTCTTATCAACTTTCGTCCTCGTTCGACCGAAAATACCCACCAAACTGAGCGACTCAGGTTTTAGTGACTCAAATTTTGGGTCATTGAAAACTTAATTAAATATATACGGGAAACGTGGAGTTCCGTGTAGCCTGTATATAGGTAATCTACAATAAGCTGTCAGAATTACCTGAAAAAGATATCTCAGATACAGGTTTTATTAAGAATATATACAATAAGCTACCGTGGTTTGTGTCTGAACTACCCGAAAAATATTCCTTTCTAGCAATTCAGACACATAGTGGGGCGAGTTTATTGAATTGATTTGGCGATTAACCCCCTAGGATTAGACTATGATCATATTGAAAATATCAACTTACAAATCCATCTTTATCGTTGACATTATTAGTGAGTTTCATTTTATGAAATGAAATAACCTTCTGCATCCACTGAGCTCCAGTGCTTGGCGAGTCTGGATGGACATACATACGTTTAGGCATTTCGGGATCTCCCTTTCCGGCTATCGACCAGCGACAATTATGAAATTTATAGCGACACTCGTCCACGGCGACGATTTCCAGCAAAACGATGTACTTTGTCCTCGGATTGAGACCTGAAATTCTCACTTTTACTGCGGGAAACATTCGCCTAGACAGAGAAAATTTCTTATCAGATTTGAAGTAGATAATTTAAAGCTCTGACGATTGGTGCAGGGTGTGAGGTAGAGACGATGATAAAAGCCCTCTACTCTAGCTTACCCCCTAGTTCATACAGAATAGCTTTATCACTTTTAAAATATTCTCCCCATGTTACTAAAGCCAAGGGCCATCTCGTATTGATCCACTGTTATCACTGGAGGTATAAACCGGAGTATTATTATTGACACTGCTTACATATTTGGTATATTGACTGCATATATACTAACCAAATAAAAGTCATGTATAATGTACGAAAGAGTTCTAGCTTACCTTCCTGCTTTGGTGATGACCATCTCCGTGCCGTGTGTGTGAAAGGCTTGCCAGAGATCTTCGTTTTCAAGTTTCACGGTAGCGGGCGGGCTGCGTGGTCTGTCAGGCTCCGGGTCAAAGCCACCAGAGCCCATCATCGATGCAGGAGCATGGAAAGAAGGCGCGGGAAAAGTTGGATTGAACGATTTTGGTTTGGTTGCGGTCGATGATAAATGATGGTAGTTGAAGGAATTTGATGCCATTGTTTGTTGGTTAGCTGTGTTCACGTTTACGGGTGGAATCAGAGGTTGAATGATGGTTGGAACTGAGAATTCCGTTCGCGCTGTCGGGTAATAAGGGTGGTAGGCCATGGCTAGAATAAATATTCTTTTAGTCTTCTTCTCCTTGCGCTATTTTCTGGATACGACGAATAACGTCGTATTATGGATAGACAGACAATTGAAATATGATAATCTCCGATACGGATCGTAGTTTGTAATAACGTCTTCTCAAATTGTTTATTCTCTTGATTTCTGTAGATTCCTTTTGTAGATTTCTGTAGATTCCTTTATCGTGCGCTCTTTGCTAGATGTGAATAATCTCAGTACGGATAGGATAGTTGATAACTTGATATGATAATCTCGGTTCACGGATGGTTGATTTTGTAGAACCGACGTCTTCTCAGATTCACTACAGCGTTTTTTTTTCAACACGGGAATAGACAATTTCTATATATGTCTGTACTTAAATTTATCCTGTGCGTGTCTCTCTAGCGAGACTTATACTTTGTGTTTATAAGCCACGTCTTATAATTTCTCTTGATCGCAGTTTGCACTCTCCCAAATTTGATAGTTGACTTTCGTCTTCAAAAGAGCGTCTTCTTTACGGGACGCAAATTATTGATCTTTTGTATAAACAGCGTTCGGAAATCTTGCGTTCTCTCCCAAGACAAAGATAGTCTTTGCGCTATCTTAGACAAGTCTCTCCTGGATTCGATTCTCAAATGAAGTGCGAGAAGGGACTTTGTTATGTAAACATATTCCCATTAAAACGTCCAGGTTAACAAGCTGTCGGTGCCGTTTAATTGGTTAACAGCTGCGCGCTCGGCCAATCACACTTCGCTTTAATTACCAGGATGAGGCGCAGTCAGAAATTGAATAGACCTAACACCTTGACGGGCACAAGTTTGTCATTTGTCAAGAGTGAGCCAATGAAAGCGCGCGACACGCCTGTCACCAGCAGTGCTATAACAAACACCCGTGCGTCTTTTAATACGTAATCATGAATATTAAAACCGCGGCCGGGTGCGTTTTCGCATTGTTTGAGGAACCGTTTAATACTCCGAAACCCAAAATTGAAATCTACATTTGCGCCTTTGTGAAACCCAAAATTGCGCGTCGACGCGCTCAAAATGCAGCTTGGTTTGTTAAATTTAACGCCAGGAAACTGTTTGTGTGTAAAACGCCGAAGTTTGAGTCATAACTCCTTTAAGAAGGATGTCCCCAATTTAGGCAGGTTTTGACAAAGCATTGTTTGATTATTAATGCCTTCAAATATTTTAACAAGGCAAGGTTTCTTGAGTAGCTATTGAAATTTCAAGTGACAGGCGTTTTGAATAAAAAGGAAATGAAAATTGTAGCAGCATGTCATATGATATTTTTGTATCATAGTGGGTTTGGAATGATAAATAAAATTTCGAATAGAATAGCATTTTGTCAAGTTAAGCCTATAGTTTATGTCAGTGTAATTTTTGACTTTTTAAAACGTATAAATTATTTAAGCAGTTTTTGATCGAGATTTTGCATACATCGTAAAGGGATAAAAGAATGAGATTAGTTTGGTTTTAATTTAGCAGCACTGTCATTGGATAATTTTTGCCTTCTGAATCAAGCAAATACTGAAATACACATCACAAAACCCTAATCACAAAAAAGCTTTGCATTTGTAATTGAAAAGACGGAATAGCTATTAACGGTTTTATAATTACCCTTGCTGTTGAAAAGAGTAGCAATTACGGGGGCAAAACGTGCGAAACATGACAATGGTAATCAAAGGACATTTAATTGTTTGCCAGCGACAATGAAAACAAGATGCAAGCTTGTTATGCCAAAGTACAAGGTGTTCAGGACGGTGAAATATATAACACTACACGAGGGTAAAAAACTTGTTAAATATATGTATTTGAGCAAGAGAATCTAAGCCTTAGTTGTCGGTTGAATTGTAAAACGTGCATGTTACTGTTATGCTGTTTGTGGCAGAAAATTAAAATGGTTTTTTATTGTACTGGTGGGAGATTCATTGCCCACTGGATGAATTGAAGTATTGACTCCCCTTAAGTCGCTTTTGTTTTTGTCCCGAGGTAGTACATGCCATGAAAGTTGTTGGATAAATAAAACGAGATATGTAAAGGAACAAGGTGGTTCCTAAACTACGGGAAATTATATATACTTCATGCTTCTTCATGCAATAGCTTCAATATTATTTAAATACACGGATCTCACTTGAGATATAAATTTCAATAGTACATATTCTTCGGTTTTATTTAAATGCGTCTCATTGACAAATGTTCGAACAAGACTTGTATTATATAAGTGTCATATTATACATTTTAAGTTAAATATTTAGCCCCGTTTAAATGAGCATCATCCAATACTGTTGGTCCAAAAATGTCAGAGGATAAAAATTTTAAACAAAGTCAAAACCGATCAACCCAATATGATCAATGTTCCCAAGATCAATGTTCCCAAGAAGGAAACTGGTTAAAAACTTAAGGTGTTTGGAAAACGCATTTCACAGATCAAGAACCTGGCCCTACAGTAGCCACAAGGTTCGACAACATCTTAACACTATATATGTGCAAAATATTTCCTGAGACCAAGCCAAATCTTGACCAAAAATAAATGCTCTTATCGCCTATCTCTTTTACAACTCTTCATGGAGCGGTGTGCATTTAGATATCAAGTTGAAACGGATATGTGTTAAAACAGCCGACGATTTTCATCGCGGAAAGGATGCGAGCTCTTGCTTTAAATGTTTTAATGGGCTGTAGCGTTAATCCTGTGAAGAATACGCGCAATATTCTGTCAAAATCGACACAGTTTAAGGCTGTTAAAAATTTCGCCTACTGCATTTAGCAGACTAAGTCTGACAAGTTAACACCACGTTACGCTTCGTAACTTTAGGAAACACGAACTTCATGACAAGGCGACATGTTTTTTAGCGCGAACGCTGACGCGCGAAAGTTGTTCCCTACTATTAACAAGTGCCAATTTGCGCGCGAGCGCAGGTTAGGAATATTTGTTGCGCATTTTCACGATTCATACTGTAGCTCTAAGGCTAAGTTAGGTTGTGTAAATTTCGTAGTATATATCAAATTGTTTCCTTTATAAAAGTATAAGCTATAGCCTATATGGGTGACTAAAACCAAGACAATTTTTAAAGTATAAGTGCGTCTAACATTCGCTCGAAACGCCGAAGTTCTTCAGGCAGTTGCTGTGCTGAGTGGTTATATTACTACCTTAAAAAATAAGCAGAAACTCAACGTTTCGAGCGAAGGTCCTTCGTCAAGAGTTAGTAGATCCCTATCAATCTGAAGCGTTTTTTAAAGCCTATCCCAGATTTACGCAAACCAGGGTTGGACACATTACCGTGAACGTTAGTTTTGTAGTGTAAACAAAGGGTTTTCAAAAACATTTTAAGTCGGATTAAAGAATTATTTTACTAAAATATGGGAAAGTTTTGACAACATTTTTTAAATCATCTTCTCTGTTCGGTTTTATGCTTCATCAGTTGCTAATCAACTAAGCCTGTTTACTGCGGTATACGAATGGCTGCACGGAGTTCTTGTTGAAAACAGTTGTATCATTATTAAAAGACGCTTAAAACGTCAAAGATTTTGACGGGTTAGGAGATAGCAAAGACAAAAATTACTCCTCATATTACCGTATTTGTTGCCTGTTGTTGGTTTTTAGTTCTTGTTATTTTCTTGCCAATGGTTAAACGTTATAAATACAATGAAATATACAGATTTAGAAGTCTCTGATTATTAATCTGGCCGGTTAATTTCGGCTCCGGCGTTTTTGAGAAAGTCCTGAAATCGGGCATATGATTGCAAATGAGTTCATTGTCCCATCCGCAGATGCGTTGAGGCTAATACAAAATGTCGCCGCAAGCATGATGAATGAAAACAACAAGCCACGAGTATTCAGAAACAAAATCTGTAATCAAACCCGTGCAAACAATATTGAAACCTCAACACGTTTTAATCCAAATCTAACACCTGGATATAATTTATTCATGAATTCTGCATATTTACATAATTTCTATACATTTTAATCATAATTTAAAGTTGTATTCAATTTAGCACAGACAAATTCATTCTTCTTGAGGTCCTCAAAAAAGCGCGGTCGAAAATTTTAATATATTGAGTTCTGAAGAGTTGATTAAAAACTGTTAATGCCGTGTAATGTGTGAAACCTCCAATTGGGTGACAGATTTCCTCTTTCCAAATACATATTTATATCCACATTATCCAGAAGATTGCTACCAAATTGTAGGACGATTTTCAAAACAATACATCCCTCGGACTACTGCCATAGTTAAATTATTGTTGTCTCAATCATTATTGGCTTCTTTTTTCTATTGGCTACTAGACTTGTTCCTTGATCGTTCATTGGCCATATGCGTTCCATTCCGGGAAAATTATTTGAAATACTGTACTTAGGCGTTCCCCGTTCTGTTAGTCTAAAATATCACTTCGAACCCCGAAGTCCTAATTGTCTGCATTCTTAATAAAAATCTTGTCATTCCATTGGGGGGCCTCTCGTTTGTAGCCTCCGAAACGGGCACCGTCAATTTTTAACATTACATAGATGGTTTAAAATTATGAGCCAAAGTCTTGCGCGTTGTTATTTAAACTGCCGCCATTTTGATTTGAGATGGGCAAACTGACATACCCATTTGAAACACAGTCTTGTCCCTTTAGGAAATTACCCGCGTAAAGTTCACCAGGCATGTAACGATAGCACGAAGGTGGGTGGTCGCTCGAGTGTGCTCCAAAATGGTGCCCTACCGTATACGGATGTTGTATCGCGGTCTGTTCCTGGGAACTAGCGTACAAACCTTGATAGGGCGAGTATGACGTCATCACTGAAAATCGACAGTTCGTCTTGTTAAAGGGGTTCCGGTATGTCGGTGAATCTCCTGCCGGAAGGGGGACTGGACATACCGGGGTTATTCCGGGAGATGAATTTGTGTCGTCACGCCATTCTGGGTTGCTAGGCGACGTGGTTTTACCAACAGTCGTGATATTCTGCATACAGTCGTAAGTACCATTTTCTTCACTCGGTGTTTGAGATTCGGATGAAGCTGGGAAGGAAATAATGAAGATGTTATAAAATACCTAAATTTGGCGAATATACTTCTAGCTAGAAATAACAGGAGGTGGGTTTCACCAGGGATGGATCCAGCGTGATCTGGTAGGGGGGGGGGGGGTGCCGACTGCCGAGTTGTGTCGGTCATGTGTGCCACCCGCCCATCAACTACTGTATTTGAATTGTAATTGTTGTTCACAATTCACTTATCATCACGTTATTACTCAAATTACTGTATCTCATCTTGTCCGTTTTTTGCTTTATCATAAAAAATAGCACCCCCTGTGGCCAGGGCTAGGGCAGACTTGTTTATTACTAACACAAAAGATCGTCCATGTATAAGCCCCCCGTATATAACCCCACCCCCCCCCCCTTGTATAAGCCCATCAGAAATCGCTTACGAAACTATATAAGCCCAGGGCTTATAGTCGGAGGTTTACGGTATGTAGTGTCTTGTATTTGGTGGCAAATAAATAGAATTGAGAAATGCAGTTTAATTCTCATGCTCCGTTCAACTTTTCTGACATTGGCCATCATCTGCTGTCTTGTGACTGAAAAACATCATTGTCCCGTACATACCTGTGGTGTAATGATGAATCACGTGACGTGGTGATGACGTCACACATACAGAGGACGGGCTGCTACAATTGGTCAATTTCATCATGTTGTGAGGTGATAATCTACTACCCGGCCCAGTCTCTTCAGGGTCTTCCTCCAACTTGCGTTTAGTCGCTCCGTACGTCGTGGAACTGAAAGAGTTACACGTCCCACGAAAACCTTTGGCAAACGGATTGTTTTCAATCTTGAGTTGTGTAATCTAAAAGATGAATAGTTTGTAGTTACACACCGCTTCGTGCTTGGGCATTCGTCCAACGTGTTAACGTTCCGGATGGCTGTGCATAGCCAAACTACTTTGCGTACAGTTTCAGTAAAAGTTTCATTACTTATCGATCCAGTCTTACTACAGGAGGAAACCTAAACTACACAAACTCTATATATCCTGGATAGCTCTATCAGTTCTAAACTGTTCTTCCTAGAGGTCCAGCAATAATCATCTCTTATTGATCCAGTGTTACTACAGGAGGAAACCTAAACTACACAAACTCTATATATCCTGGATAGCTCTATCAGTTCTAAACTGTTCTTCCTAGAGGTCCAGCAATAATCATCTCTTATTGATCCAGTGTTACTACAGGAGGAAACCTAAGCTAAACTAACTTTATTTATACTGGATAGCTCTATCAGTTCTAAACTGTTCTTCCTAGAGGTCCAGTAAGAGTCATCTCTTATTGATCCAGTGTTACTACAGGAGGAAACCTAAACTAAACTAACTTTATTGATACTGGATAGTTCTATCAGTTCTAAACTGTTCTTCCAAGAGCGCCCAAGGTGGTAACGAGGGTCTCATCGTGACCCCCTCTTTAAACCACACGCTGTGTTCCGTTCCCATTTTCTCAACTTCCGAGATTTTTGAACGCTAATCTGGATCAAGTTTAGTATGCAACATAATGGGTTTAATTCAAGATAATCTGTAGAACTATTCCAGAAATTCTCACGTAGATCCGCGACATGACATTGGAATGATTAGCACTCGACCTTGCGTGATTGTCCTTGCCCTGAACAGGTTTAAGCTATGAGAAGTTTAATGCTCAGTTGTTTTGTTAAGAAGTGTTGGTGGTATAGGGGCTAGTGCATTCGTCGTACACCTCTGTAACCGCAGTTCAATGGACCATTCCCCAATTAACCAAAATTTTGATCTCAACAAGTCTAGACAAAATTCCATCATAGCATGAAAGAGCATCACAAAATTAGTAATATTCCAAAGTTTCGTTGCGAAATGTTGTAAAATGCGAATAATATAGCCTTGCGAAATTTGCAATTTTCAGTCATTTTAGATTACAAACGGGAAATGGTTACCACTTTTCCAAAATTTTGCTCTTAACTAGCCTGAACAAAAATTTCATCACAGCTTGAAAGAGCATCACAAAATTAGTAGTACTCCAAAGTTTCATTGCAAAATGTTGTAAAATGCGGATAATATAGCCTTGCGAAGCTCGTAATTTTCAGTCATTTTGTATTACGCACACAAGTGGTAACCATTTCCCGTTTGTAATCTAAAATGACTGAAAATTGCCAACTTCGCAAGGCTATATTATCCGCATTTTACAACATTTTGCAACGAAACTTTGGAATATTACTAATTTTGTGATGCTCTTTCAAGCTGTGATGAAATTTTAATCTAGACTTGTTGAGTTCAAAATTTTGGTTAATTGGGAAATGGTCCATTGCACATGAAGAGAGATTTCTGTTCTAACAAACATCACAGGTTTTCTCCAGATCCTACCTGTAGTAACACTAGACCAAGAAGGAATGTTCCTAACTTTACCTCTGGGGAGAACAGTTTAGAACTGATAAAGCTATCCAGTATAAATAAAGTTGGTTTAGTTTAGGTTTCCTCCTGTAGTAACACTGGATCAATAAGAGATGATCCTTACTGGATCTCTAGGAAGAACAGTTTAGAACTGACAAAGCTATCCAGTATAAATAAGTTTAGTTTAGGTTTCCTCCTGTAGTAACACTGGATCAATAAGAGATGATCCTTACTGGACCTCTAGGGAGAACAGTTTAGAACTGATAAAGCTATCCAGTATAGAACTGATAAAGCTATCCAGTATAAATAAAGTTAGTTTAGTTTAGGTTTCCTCCTGTAGTAACACTGGATCAATAAGAGATGATCCTTACTGGACCTCTAGGGAGAACAGTTGAGAACTGATAAAGCTATCCAGTATAAATAAAGTTGGTTTAGTTTAGGTTTCCTGCTGTTGTAACACTGGATCAATAAGAAGGTTGATCCTTTCTGCAACTTTCTATTTGGCAAGGTAGCAAACAGATTCAAGTAGCAATGAAGTAGATTGAGATAGAGAATTGATTGATTGTTATTGATATGATAATATGAAGTGACAGATCATATAGGCAATCCAGAAGACAATGTCTTTTGTCCATTACACAAGGACTTTGGAATAGCTTTTTTACATTTTCAGGTACTACGGTCGTTTCATCTTTCAACAAATAGCTCGAACCATAATCATTGCCAGCTACACCCAAGATCACACAGGATATTTTTAAATCAAAACAAATGCGGTCGGTATAGAAACAAAGAGCTAACCAAGCAGTTCCTTAAAGCCGATTTAGACTACACACAACTTTTGTCTAAAACTGTCGCATGCAACCTGCTTACAACTTGAGTTGTACTTTGTGTAAATCAACATACAGCTTGGTTACGTTGTCGTTGATGCGTCGTGTGCTTGATTTACACAGTACAACTCAAGTTGTAATTAAGCAGGTCCCATGCGACAGTTTTAGGCAAAAGTTCTAAATCGGCCTTTATACTTTAGTCACAGGATTACTCTGCCATATTTGGCAAATAAAGTATGCAAGACACCAACCTGTGGATTCTGATAAGCAGTGACGGCCATGAACTCCGTTTCGTGGAATACAAATGTTTGATAAGCACTTCGTCCATTTAAGGCGTTGAATTCGTTCGCTTGAACGACATGTAACCGAGGCTGGTATTTGTGCATTGAGTTGAGGATTATCTGAAGAATTAGATACATGTTTGATAAAAGAAATATTTAAAAAAAAGGGAACAGTGAAACATAGTTATCGAGGAGGCGAAATTGTTCACTAGATAATGATACATTTCATTTCCATCACACCATTACTGGTACATAGGGTATTTAATACAGAATCATTCACCTGACAAACTAATTACATACACAGTGAAACCAGGGAAAATCTTGGTTAAGTTATGTACATATTTGACTGTACATTTTGTTATGTATTCGTCACTCATAGACATACATAAATGTAAATAGCCTACATAAAATATAGAAATAGATCGTTTTTGTAAAAAATGACGAAATCAGTGTTTTCATCATATAATGTAACCTTAAAGCTGCTATTAATTCGGAATGTATTGGCCTTGTATTTGGGGGCAAGTACATATTTTCTCATTCCCATACGTGATAGTATATTTGCGGTTTACCAGCACAAGGTGCAGGTTATCAGAGACACTAAATTGTCCACTATATGCATTGACGTTGTGTTTCGTGGCAATATTTTCTCATTCTCTCAATGAGTGTCACTATCTTAAAGGTTGAAAAAGGCATTATGCACAGCACTAAGACATGTTTGAGAAGAATCTCTATTTTTACACATGATATAGAAATTTCACAAAGCTGACCATTATTGTATAGCACCAAACACCGAGTGTTAAACACCAAGCCAGTTCACTCTAGCATTTCATCAGTACAAATCCTTCAAATCTACCTATGCAAAATTCCTAGTGTGATCACAGAAACTTTAATAGTGTGAAGCAGCGTTTACATAAAGGTCATATAAAATCAGTTATCTAAAGCTGGAGTTTATACACGAGCAACAAAATTGCTGCAACTTGGAACAAAATCTGATTTCAACGCATGTTAAGCAGAAATGTCGACACATGTTGCCTCGTGATTTGTAACTTATGTGTAAACAATTTCAATTAACGTGCGTTGAAATCAGATTGTGTTGCAAGTTGCAGCAATTTTGACCCAGAACGCCTTGCTTGGATCCGCCGGCCTCCCTCCCCCCCCCGTGCTATTTGATCGTGCATACTATCACATGTGAGTTCTGGAAATCACCACCGTGCATGTGTAGCGTGCATATATCCTCCCACCACAGACCTTAAGCCACTCAGAAAAGACACTTCTTACTGTCAAATCTCAGATGCCTAATGCGGAAAATTAGCTCAAAACAAAATCGCGAATTATATGTAAAGAATTCTAATATTAGAGCTTCTAAGCTGGATAAATGTTTTTAAGCCATCTTATATTGGCTAAATCCTCTTCAGAACGGCGCCAAAATTGTCCAAATTTTACTAAATTCGGATAAACAAGCTATAATCTGTTCCTATTGAGAAAAAATACTTGGCACATAATATAATAATTTTATACTGGATAACTCGATCAGTTCTAAACTATTTTCCCTAGATGTCCTGTATGGGTCATCTCTTATTGATCCAGTGTTACTAGAGGAGGAAACCTAAACTAAACTAACTTTATTTATACTGGATAACTCTTATCAGTTCTAAACTGTTCTTCCTGGAGGTCCAGTAAGGGTCATCTCTTATTGATCCAGTGTTACTACAGGAAGAAACCTAAACTAAACTAGCTTTACTTATACTGGATAGCTCTATCAGTTTTAAACTGTTCTTCCTGGAGGTCCAGTAAGGGTCATCTCTTAATGATAAGCGTTGCTGTATGGAGGGGAAACTAAACTAAACTAACTTTTTTTATAATGGATAGCTCTCCAGTGAGGGCAATCCTTTATTGATCCAGTGTTACTGCAGGAGGAAACCTAAACTGAACAAACTTTATTTATACTGGATAATCCTTTCAAGTCCAAACTGTTCTTCCCAGAGGTCGAGTAAAGGTCATCCATTGTTACTAGGGGGGAAACCAGAGTACTTGGAGAAAATCTTTGGTGTTTAGTGTCTTAGAGTTTAACTGATTCATTTTACTGTATATATACTATCATGTTATTTATACATCATAGACATGCATTAACATAGAGCCAACAGTATAAACGGATGTATCAGTTTGACTTTATATCAAATAGCACAGGTTTCCGCCAATAGCAAAAGTGAATAAAAAAGGTCTGGTCCTTACTAGACCTCTGGGAGAACAGCTTTGAAATAATAGAGCTATTAAAATTTAGTTTAGGTTTCCTCCTGTGGTAACACTTCATCAATAAGAGATGATCTTTACTGAACCTCTAGGAAGAACAGTTTATAGAACTGATAGAACTATTCAGTATAAATAAAGTTAGTTCAGTTTATACGTTTCCTTCTGTAGTAACACTGGATCAATAAGAGATGATCCTTACTGGACCTCTAGGAAGAACA